CTGAAATACTTCATTAGGATTATGGCATAAAGGGGAGTGGTATTCTATCTGTGTTGCCCGGAGGTAATTTTATTTCCTCATCTGCAAATTGAATTAGTGCTTCATCCTAGGTCAAGTCTCTCTATTCTCAGTGTTCTCTGCTTCTACATTTTTTATGTATTCCATTTCTAAATTGAAAATACCTTCTGCCTGAAAGTAAATGGCCACTTGACATTTTGGCAAGCCACAGTCAAAGAAATGGAAGCACATATACAAAAGTGCAATTTGTGTATCAGGACGTTTAAAGGAGAATATTTTTCTTCTATCTCTCCATCTGCACAAGTTGAAAGAATCTGAAAGCAAAAGCATTAATTTAAAGATAAAATATGTCTTCTACTCTTTGAAAACAAAGTGGTGGACTCCTTGCACAGACCCTCTGTGTCAAGGAGGTTGCTTAAAAATTGACCTTGGGATGCTTGGACTCACTACCACACTGGGGAATAAACAGGCACAAGATAGATAATATCAGAGGGCATTGTGTCAGAGAGAAATAAGTGTGTATTCAGGCCCACTTCCACAGGAGGTGTAGCACAGTCCCTATTCCTTCATTTTAGCCTCAATTAATGTTGACTAGTCAATGAACTTAGAGTAGAAACCCTATTATGACTTTAGAGGACACAGTGGATTAATACCTCATTAATATGCAAACAGGTATAGAGGCAAAGTATTGTGACCAGGAACTACCTTGCTGGGCTGGAAGAGGCACGTTGTAGAGAATTTGGCATTGCAAAGATATGGGTCAAACAGAAGTTCACTCAGGCAGGATCATGCAAGGGCTCTAATATAAAAGCACCATTGTGTGCATTACCTCAAGAGATTACCACTTGGTGCATTAGTTTGAAATATTCAGTGTTGGGACTCAGGTTTCCTTTGCTTAGCAGGGGACCTACTGGCTTTGGGGCAGAGGACTTGAATGGTGACAGATTAGACCGTGGGAGCTGTGTCTTTCCAACAAGCCAATTTATTTTAAAATTCTGATGGTTTTTATACATCCCAAGGAACTAGCAGTCACGTGGGATATGGCAGTCACATACAAAGATTTAAGGTACAAAGAAACATTTCTTTCTTAGAGCTAAAAGCATGGTAAACTTTTAGCTTTTAGCTGAGGCGTAAACCTTTAACCTAGCCTAATCTTTTAGCCAGGGATAGCTGAGTTATTTGTTCAGGACAAGGAGATGAGCTAAGGGTTGTTGACCAAGATGCTTTCCCACAGAGCAGGGAGCCTGCACTTATGACCAGGCTGCTTTCTCCTGCCAGTCTGTCAGTGTTCTGCAAGACAGGGATTATCAGAGCCACTGTTTTCAGTGCCCCTCCCTTTAGCAGAGAATGCAGCCTGGATTTAAAAGGTTTAGGCTCTCCTTACCCTAGCAGCCTGGCATCCTGGTTTCCTACAATTCAGTATAGAGGTCCTTTAGAAGGGCCATCAAAGAATCCTCAACTGTACCCCTGCATTAAAAGAGTAAGCTCTGTTAAGCCTAGAGACCTTCAACACCAGAATTTTCCTTCTCATTCATCTTTATTTCTTAACTTCAATATTTGGGAACAGACCAGTGAGAAGCAGGGACAAAGAAAAGATGGTTCTCACTCTGATAGTCTGTTGTTCAAAATAAAAGATTACAATGGCATTCAATAGGTACATGGCAGGAAATTTATACTACTAAATAATGTTACTTTTAATCACTTTCTTTCCTGACTTGGAATTAAGAATAAATCAAACTACCACAGTATTTTTTTCATCTTTTAATTAATAACATCAAATGTTTACCTCTAAAATGAGTCTTCTTCATCATTATACATGTATACTGTGAGGAATATCTTTTTAAGAAGCATTTAATACTTATTTACGGTATTAATAACAACCATCCGAAAACAAAACACTAGACCCATAATGTTACTGACAAATTTTAGCAAACATTTAAGGAATAAATTATACCAGTTCTCTGCCATCTGGTTCAGAAAATGGAAAGAAGCAAAGGAACATTTTGTAATGCGTTCTGGGAAGCCAGTACAACTTTCATACTAAAACCAGACAAGGAAAGGACAGACCAATCTCTCTCATGAACATAGTTTCAAAAATCTATAACACAATATTAAGCCAACTTTAACAGTGTATAAAATGGAGTATTATGTGGTAGTCAAGTGATGTTTATTGGAGTATGCAAAGATTGTTCACCATTTAAAAATGGATTTGTGTACTCCATCAACAGATTAAGGAAGAAACATCACATAATCAGGTTAACAGGTAATGAAAAAGCATTTGACCAAAATATAGCACCCATTCATGAAACTAATTTTCAACAATCTTGGAAGAAAGCTTCCTTAATCTGATAAAGATGTACAGATTATATTAGATGTACAGTTAACATACTTAATGAGAAATTAATGATCAGGAACAAAAAAAGAATGATCCCTATTACTCAACTGATTTTGACATCATATCAGAAGTTCTAACTGATGTAATAAGACAAGAAAAGGAAATAAAAGTCATAGGTTGGGAAAAAAAAGAAATAAAAACTGTCATTGCTTGAAAATGATATGTTTGTCAATGGATAAAATCCTACAGTTAACATAAAAGCTTTTGAAAATAATAAGCTATTAGATAAAGGCTTAAAGATACAAGTTAGTATCAAAAATCAAATTCTTATATATTAGCAATTAACTGAAACTTGAAGCTTAAAGTATACCATTTATTGCATTAGCATAAAGTTGAAATATTTAACTGTAATCTAACAAAGTACACATAAAGATAGCTATGTTAGGGAAAGTGTAAAATTCTAAGGAAAGAAATAAAACAGACTGATATAAATAGAGAATACCGAGTAGAAAGGCTTAGTTCTGTTTGTCCCAAGCTGACCTGTAAATTCAATATAATCCAGTCATAATTCTAAAAAAACTGCTTTATGAGCATCAACAAACTGACTAGAGATTTTATGGAAAAGCAAAAGCCCCAATAATATCAAAAGAACACTGAAGAACAAAGCAGGCATGCTATTAACAAACTCTACTTGATTTCAAGCCTTTTTGTAAATCTCAGTAATCAAGGCAGGTTCATGTTGGTGAACTACCAAACAGAGAGATCAACGCAATAGGCCAAAGCTCTGAAATAAGCCCCTCCACATAAAGTAGACTTATTATTCATAATTGCATCATACATAATTGCCAAAATGTAGTAGCAGCCAAGAGACGCTCTGATAGATAGTAAATGGATAAACTGTTAGGCATCTGTATTATTCAGGGATAAAAAGAAATTAACTCTCAACTCATCAGTGAATTTTTGAAAAATTTTAAGTGTACATCAGTAAGTGAAAGAAATGAATCTAAAACAGCAGCATACTACATGACAACTACAAGACACCATGTACAGGCAGTACTTAGAAGAGAGGAAAACACCAGCGGTTGCCTAAATCAGGTACAGGAAGAAAAGATGAATAAGTGGGGACGAAGACCATCATTAGAATATTTTGTTTACATTTTTATTTTATGTGTATGAGTGTATGATCTTCATGTGCTTAAGTGTACCCATGTCATGTAGTGCCTGTGGAGGTCAGTAGAGGGTGTCAGATCCTCTGGAACTGGAGTTACAGGCAGCTGTTAGCCTCCATGTGGGTACTGGAAATCAAACTCAGATCCTCTACAAGAGTAGCCCATGCCCTTAACCGCTGACTCTTCTCTCTAGCCCCCCAAAGACCATCACTAAAACAGGAAAACTTCTGTTATGACACTGTAGTGTTGGGTACAGACAACATTATGCCATTTTCAAAACCCATAGAAAGTCTGAAACACAACAAATCAGCTTACACTATGCGATTTAGTTAACAGTAAAATATTAATGTTTATCCACCAATTGTAACAGATGTTCCATAGTAATACAAGATGTCATGTGGAACTGGGGTGAGGATTCTGGAGGAACTTTCTGTGCTTCATTTGAAATTTTTGTAAACCAAACATACATGTATATGATAAACAGTTGTGGTTTTATGGTAGAAGGTAGAATGACAGAATCACCCATTAAAAATGATAGTTTAGTATCAAAGGTAAATTACGAGAGGATAGGTTGACAAGAATATAGGAAACAAAGCTAAACAAATAATGAGGCTGCCTGGCATTCAAGAGCAAGTAGACAGTAAGAATGGAATTTTGCTGAGTAATGTGAAGGAAAGATAAGTCTAAGCAACACAGAAAGAGTAGAAACCTTAAGGAGAGTGAGAGTTAGTATAAAAAAATAACATCTTTGAACGATTTTTTATACACCCCTGTCTATTTTACAAATCCATGAGTAAAATCTGACATTCTGATATGATAGTGATGATAGATATATAGATAGATGATAGGTAGGTAGATAGATTCATGAGTAAAATCTGACATTCTGATATGATAGTGATGATAGATATATAGATATAGATAGATGATAGGCAGGTAGATAGATAGATAGATAGATAGATAGATAGATAGATAGATAGATAGATAGATAGATGATAGAGATAGAGAGATAGATCAGACAAATATTTTTATTAAGGAAAGGGCCTAATTTTCACAATCAAGTTGGGAATGGAGTAAAAATAAAATTCTAAAGGACACAGAACAGAAATTATGTCTTCAATCTTAGCACTCAGGAGGCTGAGGCAGAAGGACCTTGAGTTCAAGACCAACCTGGACTGCATGACAAGATCTCAGAGGGAGAAAGACAGAGACAGAGACACAGACACAGACATGGGCGGGAGAGAGAGAGAGAGAGAGAGAGAGAGAGAGAGAGAGAGAGAGAAAGAGGAGAAAAAAGGGGGAGGGAGAGGGGAATTAAGAATTCAATGGAGACAAAAAATAAAGAACAGGTATGGGCTTGAGAAGATACCCACACCATACCATGTGTCTTGGATCACCACAGAGCACTGGAGGAAGTTAGGACCAACTGCATCCACATCTTATCTAGACTCCACATCTGGATAATGCCTAGAGGTACTTACATGTATGTTGAGTTATCTTTATTTTCCTCATTAAGAAGAGAATGTTCTGTGGTGTCAAAACAAGAATTCTCTTCTAAAAATAAAGGTTTTACTTTCATGTTTTCTTCTTGATTCTCACTTTCTATTAAAGTTGAGTCTCTTTCAGGAAGAGAAAAACAGTTTTCAATATGCCAATGACTTGCCTGAAAGAGAAAAGAAGGGTGTTTTTTTATATAAAATTTATTTCAGCCAACATTTATGTGTATTTACTATGTACATACACATAAGATAAGTAATGGGGGCTGGAGAGATTGCTCAGTGGTTAAGAGCACTGGTTGCTCTTGCAGAGGACCCGGTTCGATTCCTAGCACTCACATGGCAGCTAACAACTGTCTGTAACTATAGTCCCAGGGGATCTGATGCCTTCTTCTGACCTCCGTGGTCATTGCACAACATGGCTGCCCTTATACACATGCAGGCAATATTTCATACACAAAATAAAAAGTTACAAATATTTTTTTAAAAAATATTAGTAACTGAACTCCCAGGAATATACACACATGAAAATGACTAAGATAGCATGTGATCTTATAGTCTGCTAAGGGAGATGAAATGTATGTATCTAGTAAAGGCAGAAAATTAGCTGTGTCATAAGAAAGAAACAAAAAAAAAGTCTGATCAAATTATAACTAACAGCAAACAGTTACTGAAGTTTCAACTTTTAAAACCTGAATGACAAAAAGATAAAAATTATAACATAGGGGCTGGCAAGATGGCTCAGTGGTTAAGAACACTGTTCTTGCAGAAGATCCAGGTTTGAATTCCAGCACCCACATGGAAGCTAACAATTGTCCATAACTCCATTTCCAGGGGATCCAACAGCTTCTTTTGTCTTCCACAGGAATTGCACAACATGGATGCACTTACCTAAATGTAGGCATAATGCTCATACACATAAAAATAATAAGTAAAACATTTAAAAATTATAACATATCTTTTGTTGACATTTTTTGAGTTAATTTTTCCTACAACTACTTTCTTTGGACTCAGCTCCTAAAAAGCCCTTAGTAACCAATCCAGTTATTGACTTTTCTGAGAAAAAATAGGCTATGATTGTCTTCACAGATTTTGTCTATGAATTTTTAATGTAGCAAAGGTTTCTCTTTGACAATCTATTTCATAGTTTATATACAAGATCAAGGTTTT